GAGATTTAGGCTTCGTAAAATCCTTGACATCTACAGGTGTGCTTGGGAGGGTATCACACATTTTTAAAAAATATGTTTACCTAGAGTTTAACAATGACTTGGATTTTACCTTTGCCATGCTCCCCATTGAAACAGACTAAAGAAAGACCTCAAGACAGGAGTTTTTTTTCAATCCCATGAAATAAGAGTCTGTAATACTGGACTCTAATGTACCAGGGATCTAGATGATGGCACAGGCCCAGCCACGGCCTCTTCTGTGGGCACTGAGGTCATCACGAGTAGGTGTGGATTCAATAGCAACTGATACAAGTGCCCCGACCACCACCACTATGAGATGATGGCTGGGTGACAGGCCTTAGCTATCAAAACACAGTCCCACAGGCTAGAAATCACCATTGGTCTGTTTAGATTAGTGAGTGGGTCTCAACCTGCAGCAATTACAGTTCTCAAGTCAGGGTAACTTTGAAAGCTTCTAAATTTCGGGCACTAACAGGTTACTGGTACAATTCAGCTCATGCCAAGGAAGAAGGTGTTCTTGTCCCTCAATCATGCACAAACTCCTCTTTTTCATATTATTTCCATGTAACAAAATGACATACATTTCAGCAATAAGAAGGGATGACATTGCACTGACCTTGCTTTGCCACGAGAAGTAAAAGCAGAAAACAAAACACAACATCAACAACAACTTCTGTGCTGATTCCAGGTAGAATCAGTGTCAGGAGTGGAAGACTGACTTTGTAATCTAGGTAGTTCATAATGGATAGTAGAGAATCCTGTGCAAACATAATGATAGCAGCACTGGCTTTGCCCTACATGAGATGCTTCCTTAGATAGCATCCTGTTAGTCCCACCCTGATAAATTGGTGGACTACGGTGTTTTGTTTTGGCCAATGGGTAGAGAACAGACCCACAGATCAGGCAGCCAAGCATGGGGTTGGGGGAGCGGGGAATCTCCCCAGTCAAGTTCAGGGTGATCACTTACAAATACACCAACAGGGAGGCCAGGGTCATCTCGAAGACCTCACTCCAGGTTAGCCAAGGTGCCCGTGGCTCTGCAGTGGATTCTGACCCACAGCAATTCCACGTGTCTCCGAAAACTGGGCTCTCCAAGTTTCCAGTGGCTAATTCTTTGGAAGTAGATTACTAAACCTTTATTCTGAGGTGCTTCTGGGTGAACTTGAACCATTCTTTTTTTGTTTTATTGGTTTGTTAACTGTCTGTTCCACCCAGGGGCTTGTTCTTGTTGTGTACCGTTGAGCCAGAACTGACCCATAGCTGACCATCTAGTGGGTTTTCAGAGACAGTTAATCACATGTGAGGAGATGGACCGTCTTTTCCCCATGTACCTAGGGGCTCCTGGAGCAATACAGACACCTGGGTTCACTGCCGCTGGAAAGGAATCCCAGCAAGGCCCTTCTCAGGAGTCTGAAGGACACCGCTTGGCTTAGTCCATCGAGTTATGCTCCTAACCCGAAAGGCCATGCTTTTCTGGTGATCGACCCCACCAGTAACTGATTCACAGTCTCAGAAACTCACTGGAGGGTCAGTGGTGAGTCAGTTCTGACTTGACAGCAATGAGATTTCCTTTTAGACAAAAGCTGAATCTGTAAGAATCAGTAAGCGACCACCCTTCTCAAATGAACAAATGGTAAGGTGTCTCAAATCCTTTGGAATCGCAGATATAAAGCTGACCATTAGAAGGTTCTCTGAAAAGGCAGTGAAGCAACAGAGAGAGATTAAGTGTTGATGTGGTTTCATACGCTTTCCACTTTGAGGAAAAGCGACGCTGGAAAGGAAAGAAAACACCTCCAATTCCAGTTGACTGCTTTTTAAGTACTTCGTGGCCTTCCTGCGGTGGTACAAACGCAGGTCTATTTTAGGAACTGGCTTCCCGGCTGCAGGGTTAGGTGCCAACATTTCACCAGCCTTGGGCTGCCTGGCTCCTGCGCTCCTGGCACAGCGAGGAGGGATTTCCTCAAGTGCCACACCAGGGATTGGGCCTTTCAGTGAAAAGAGGTCCCCTGCGCCAGCTGCCAGCTTTGGGAGATTAATTGGCCATTTTCTTCTTTGCTTTATGTGCAAGGTATTTAATGTGGGTTGAAAAGTAGAACATGAGGAAAAGCAGGTATTAGCTGGCTCTCGGAGAGGTGGTAATCCACAGATCTGCCTCTGTGTCGACAGTTTCTAAGCAGTGGAACAATTGCCTCACAGTGCACCAAGCGAGCTGTCAGCGGGAGAACAGTCCGGGTGTTCATATGCTCTGAGGCACTGGGGCGAGGACAGCGGCGTGAACGTCCTCGGCAGACCCAAGCCCTAAGCAGGCTCCACTCTGTCCCATCTGATCTGGGCGGCGGTGGTGGTGGTGGCGTGTCAGGGGAGGCCTGTGGCCCCGGCACCAGGCTGCTGTCAGTGAAAGTGTAAAAGGGAGAGGAGACAGGAGCGGCTGGACCACAGTCCCAGGCCTGGGGAACGGACTAGGATTGCATGTTGGCTTCCCCCTCCCACCTCCTTTTGGAAAATAAGCAGAAAATGATGTGGGTGGAAATTTCTCCTTAGGGGTTTGCAGGGACTGGTAATATGTGGCAGGGCCCTCTAAATGGGCGTTGGTGAAAAGCAAAGGCATTCGGGACAGGGAATCCAGCATTCCCGAGACTGGGTGTCTGTCTGTCAGCTCAGACAGGAAATTTTGTGCAGAGAGAAGTTTCAGAGGGAGGAGATAGCCCTGCACTCAGGCCTCAGGTGCTGGGGACGAACTCAGTGATGGGCAGGCTCACAGATGCATTCACTGAGGCAAAGGCAAAAGTAAGCGTTGGGGTGGGAGCTGGGGGCGGGGGAGAAGGCACTTTGCCATCGGAGCACATCTGTTTTATAATAAGCAGGTCTAGAATTCTCTTGTGAAGGATCATGTTCTGCTATCTTCTCTGAGACTGGAAAAATATAAATACTGCACTTCGCAAAGGGGAGGAGGGAAAAGGAGACGGTCAGATTTGTTTGTCTGTTTGCCAAGTGCTCATTTGACATTTTCCACCCTCTTCCTTTCGTGTGTAACGTTGTAACTACAATGGGGTTGGAGTGTGTGTGTCAGCCTGTTGTTCCAAGAGTAAAAGGCATCACAGGGCCCCACATGAGTAGGGCCCTGGCCATTTCACATGCTGCCCACGCCTTGAGAGCGGCAACTGGATCAGAAAAATGAATGCACTGGGGCAGGCTGCTAAGTTGAACTGTGTGGTCTGGGCTAGAGGAACTGGCAGGTCAAGAGATGGGATGTTCACATCTAACCATGTGCACTGGAGTCACTCAGTCAGTCTCTGAATGGACAGGGCTACTAGGAGTGGGGCTGTGGAGGGAGCAGTGGGGGAGGATGGAGGGGCGGGATTGAACCTCCCATGTATTGTGAGAACCATAGGTACATGGGGTCCTAACAGCAGTGAAAACTACTGAGTCATGAACCATGAAGGTATTGACAGTGTCTACTCAGTGGTGGCTGGACATTATCTTTTTATTGACTCGTGTGTGAACTGTGTCAATAGAAACACTTTCTTTTCCCCCCCTATTCAAGAGAGAGGTAAGGAGGAAGGAATCAGAGTCAGTGGGTTCCCATTTTGGTCTCAGTGATGGGGGCCACTGACATGGGAGCCCACTGCTCTACCAACAGCAAAGCAATTCATTATATTTACCTATATTCTGTTGTTTACTTAGCACTTCTGTTTTCATTTAATGTAATTTTATATATGTGGCTATATATATGTGTGTATATAGAATTTTAAACAACATTAAGTTTAAGTTATTAATTATATTTTAAGTTTGGTATTTTCTTAAGAGCCTAAAGTTGGTAATTTGAAGTCCCATGTTACTCTGATAAAAAAAACCGAAACCCACCCAAAAAACCAACAACAAAAGAAACCAAAATAAAATCCAATAATTTAAAAAAGCAATTGAGAGAAGACTTGGTTAAATGTATAAATTAACATTTAAAAAAAAAAAGGACAGGGAAAGACACCACCATAAAGTATTCAAAATGAGCAGGGAAAAGCAGCAGAATTCTGTGAAAAGAAATCAAGTTTCTTGGAATTTACGTACCACATATCTCATCTCTTAAACAATAGTCCTAGGACATTTCTCAGGCCAGCACCATATAAAAAGCATAAATATCACCCAGGAACCCTCTGGCAAGCTGTTCTTAAGAGCGGCATGTTCACCACCCGACAACATGGTGGGCCATCTCAGGAGCAGAGCTGGGACTCCCAAAGACACACTGACCACATGCAGACACTGATTGTAAAAGTCTCTCTTTCCTTTTCTTCTCAGGAAAACAAAATTCAAAAACTCCCAACTTTCTGATATGAACCTCAAAGCTAGATGCAGCTCTCCTCATAAATTAGGGATGCATGCTTTCTGTCAGGTCAGGGGGAGCTCACACTCCTGGCATCCAGTGATTCTGTGTGACCTCCAGCTCCCCAGAGGAGACTAAGTGGAGACTGAGCCAGGGACACTGAGTCATGGAAGTATCCAGGAGCCATCTCTGCTTTGAAGATTTTCTTATGAAGTAGATGGTGGCAGGGGCTTGCCTCAGTTACCTCAGCTTCTGAGGAGGCTGCAAATAAATAACATAAAAATAACACAAATTGCTGTCATTCCACTGGAAGCATTTCTTCCTGTGTCCTGTGTGATACAGTGGCCTCTGAGAGCCAACAAGCAAAACAAAACAGAATAAAACACCCGTAACAAAAAACAAGGAAAAAAAAGTCTGACCTATTAAGCACAGTGTGTAAACCACATTTTGCTTGGGAACAAGCAGCTGAAATTCATGGCTAAGTTAAGTCAACAAATGGTATTTTCTCAAGTCATAAAGGTTCCATGGACCTTTTAGACAACAATTTATACAGTGTATACGCACAGGACGTATAGGTATGTACGTGTGTGTATATGTGTGTGTGTGTGTATATATATATATATCTAGATCTAGCTGAAGAGTGGATGAACTCTTCTCCCACTGAGGTCTAACTGGGTAGTTAGGAAGCCACTGAGGGCTGTCAGGTCATGGCTACGTGAATCTCTGGCCTGGGGTCCCGCTGGTCAGGTGTTCTGGAAGGACAGCTCAAACATGCTGCACGCCTCCTCCAGACTCTCGTCCATGTTCAGCCTCCGCCAGAAAGACTTCTGCTTCTTCTGTAGTTCTCGGCGGACACACCTCGGGCAGGGGACAGACTTTTCTTTGCATTCCGAATGGAAAACAGCTCCACAGCTTTCACACCTGCAAAAGCCAACCATGGAGAGGGTGAACGGGGCTGAAATGAGCAGGAGATAGACACAGACACTCAAAGCCCAGAAGCCACTTCTGTCTGGTGAAGCAGGGCCGTGACACATCACTCTGGGCCACCCTAACCTCTGGGAAGATGAGTGACTTACAGGAATGGGCTGTGTGCTTTTCTGAAAGGCTCAAGGTTGATGCTCACTTGGAGAATATTTTTTCATTTGTTCTCTTGATTAGAACTAGCCCAGAGAGAAGCTACGACTCATGAGTGGAGGGGACTCAATGTTCATTTAGCAACTCTGTGACGATGGGGACAGTGGACAGGGCATTCATGTCCTGTGTGTAAGTTCCCTCTCCACTGTAAAAAGGGGAGAGTCGTGACTACCAGGAGCAGTGACAGAAACTGAGGATGGAGTGACTTGCTCACTGGAAAAGTGCCACACACCAATGGCAACTGCAGCATTCAGGTTCCACCTGTGAATATGATGCTTTCTCCTTTAGTTACACTGAGTCAAGAGGTCTCCTGTGAATGCACTATTCTTGACAGTGCGGAAAGGTAAAATGACACATTTTCATTTTTTTAGAAAAAATATATACTGTGGTAAAGGTGGCGGGTCGGAGAAAGAGAGGAACTGCTCTACAAGATAGACTGACGCAGCGACTAACCATGGGCTTGAGTACATCAAGGACAGTGTGCATGGCACAGGACAGGGCAAGGTTCAGATCTACGGAGATCTATGAGTCCGAGCCGACTCGATGGCACCCACCAATAACAACTACTTTAGTCTTGTGAGTTAAAAAGTAAAAATCAGAAGAATCTTCCACTCAGGCTATCTTTATAAAAGAAATTGGAGTAATAAAACATGAGAGTAAAGAAGAAAGGAGAGAGGAAAGTGTTACCAAAAAAACCACAAACCCCTCAAGCCCGAGCCCACAGACACTGTAGGTGATGCAGAGGAGACATTCCAGGCGGGTGACTGGCTTGTTGTTCAGCTCGGTGGAATCTGCACAGGAGTCTGCACAGCTTGTTTTCACAGCACAGTTTTGAACAATGAGTAACTGACAAGCACCACTAAAGCTGCTCGAGTGGGTGGCTTGGTGAAGTAGATTACATCTCATCCTTTCACATGACAGGCAACTTCTACCTGGTCCCAGGAGCTCAGGGCATCAGTCTGCATGACTTCGTTTAATCAGCATCATTCAAGGCAGGTCTATCAGGGACTGGGCAAAGAGGGAGATAGAACAACCTGCGCTCAGGGTTCAGTGTGATCCTTCTGCTTTGTGGGAGCATCTAGCTGGGTTTGCATCCCCGCCACAGGCCAGCCTGTAGGGAGGGCTTGAGCCCTAGCCTGGTATTGCCTGCCCTCAATGTTATATAAAATTAAGAGCATTTGGCTAAAGGGGACCTTCATGCCCTCCTTGGTACCCTGGGCAGAAAGCTGTGCAGGGCCAGAGGCTGCAGTGCATCTGACTGACTGACTGGACCCAGCAGCCTCTGCTCAAGCTCAGCAATTTGCACAAAGAGAAACCAGGGTTGTAGTAGTGCACAAAGAGTTAAGATGGCTATGACTGCAAATGGTTGTACGACTCTGAACCAACTACTTAGTTTCTCATTTGCTAAATGGGGCCTCAGTCTCCTCAATTCCTAAATGGGGACAGCATTCGTCTCAGGGGGGCCTTGTAAGCCTCAAATAAGAAGAACAACAGATATAGCATTTAGCACATGGCAGGTGCGTAACAGTGGAGCTAAAACGGCTCCTTTCCTCACTGTGTCCCTCTGGCTGTCTGCTGGGTGTCTTCATGTCTGTCTGACTTCACCTCCACCACTAATGAGACCTGGGGACATTCCAATCAAGCCCCTCATTTCACAGATACAAAAACTGAGATTCCAACAGGACAGTGATTGTCTTGTGGAGAGTCAGTGAATGCGGTGATGGATGTCAGGACAGTGGTTGTCCTGTGGAGAGTCAGTGAATGCGGTGATGGACGTTGATGAGAATCCAGGGCCTCCTGGTCCAGCCATTGCTCTTCTCCAGCACCACCCTGCTGGCTGAGGCCTGGTCTTCTGAATGAGAACGGGGAGTCATCGTGCAGGGAGGCATGGCCTCCAAGTTGGAATAACTGTGTTCAAATCCCACCTTTTCCTTTTTAACTCAGTGACTGTGGGCAAGGTATTTGGTGCACTGGTCTCCTCCATTGTAAAATGCTGCTAAAAAGGGCCGCCTTCCCATCACAAGGTTGCTTCTAGACGAGAATCAGGGGATGCATGTGAAAGGACCAGGCAAATGGTGACATGCCCTGCACAGGTCAGTGTGACCCACCTCTCTCTGGAGACTCTACTACTTGCCCCTGATGCTGACCATGGCACAGGACGGAGCCATCACTAGCATTTCCTTCTCCCCAGCCCGCTCCCTCCTTCCCATGAAGATGAAGGTCAGATGCAGGTCTCCAGTGAGTCTCCCTCCTGGACCAGCCCCTCCCTAGTGGCAGTGGCTTTGTCCCCACTGGGTCACACCTCTGTAACCTCCTATCACTAGTCTGACACTAATGGCAGCTTTATCAAATAAATTTCCTCCTTCCTGCCCCCTATGCCCCATGAGTTAGTCAGTGATTTATATGCCTAGGGATGTTGCCCTAGGGCAGCGATTGATAAAAGAGAAAAATGCTGGGTTCCTTCAGTACCACTCCCTTATCTCTGCTGATACCAGGACCCTAGTGAGTGAAGCTATTGAGTCTTATCGGATATTCCTGGTGCAACAAACACCCACAAGGCCAAGGAAGGCCTGAGTGCACCTGCTCTTTCCAACCAAAGGTCAGTAACTGAACAGAGCACGAGATAAAATGATTAATGATTTTAAAATAGAACTCAAACCTATTTTCTAGTAATTTGTACCCCAGCAGGCATCATTTGAACTGAAAAATGGACAAAATGATCAAACAATAACCTTCCCAGATTTGGAGACCTGACTTGTTAATTTCCCCTTCTAGTTCCTTCCCTTTAAAGGAATAAAGGCAGGAAAAACAAGGAGCTAGAGAACTGTGCTTTTACATACAATGTCCAGAACTCTGCAATACAAATGTAATGCAAAGGGAAAAACTATGGCTAGAGAAAAGAAGGTGTGCTCCTTTTTGAGAACTGCTGTTGTTGTTAGGTGGCATGGTATCAACGATCACCCTGTGAACACCACACATGCTTCACTCACATGGACCCTAAAGACAACAGATCTGAGCTGTGCCTTATCCTGAGTCATCCTCACGCTCTCCCTCACATCCACTGTTGTGGTCATTGTGTCCATCCTGCTTGTTGGATCTTCCTCTCTTTCTCTGACCCTCCACCTTTCTCAGCATGCTGTCTTTTCCCAAGGACTGGCCTCTCCTGACAACATGGCCAAATGATGACAAAGACAAAACTTTCACTCTCCTTGTCTCTAAGGAGTGCACTGGTTGTGTTTCCTCCAAAACAGACTTGTTTGTTCTTTTGATATAGTCCATGGGGCATTTAGTACCCTTCTCAAACATAAAACTCAGAGACATCAATTCTTCTCCTGTCATCCTTATTCACAGTCCATCATTCAGAGTTACAGGAAATAACTGGAAAGATCATGGCTTGGAGCAGGCACACCTAGTCTTTAAACAGACATTTATGCTCTTTAGAACTTTGGAGATGTCCTCCACAGCAGATTTGCCCAACTCAACACATCTGTTGATTTCTCCACTGTCGTCGCCATGGGTGTTTATTGTGGATCCAAGTAAAAGGAAATTCTTGACAACTTCAGTCTTTCTCCATTTATCATGATGCTCCCTACTGGTCAGAATTTTTGTTTTCTTGATATTGCGATGTAGTCCATATTAAAGGCTGAAGTCTTTGATATTCTGAAGTTAGTTATTTCAAATCCTCTTTACTTTTGGCAAGCACGGCTATGACATCTGCATAACACAGATGTAAATGAGTCTCCAGTCCTGATGCCACATTCTTCTTCATAGAGTCCACCTTCTTGAATGATTTGCTCTGTATACAGAATGAACAGGTATGGAGAAAGGATACAATCATGATTCAAACCTTTCCTGATTTTAAACCATGCAGTGTTCTCTTGTTCAGTTCAGACAGCAGCTTCTTAGTCTAAGTATAGGTTTCACACGAGCATGACTAAGTATTCTGAGATTCCCATTCTTCTCAATGTTACTCATTATTTGTTATGATCCACATAGTTAAATGCCTTTGTATAGTCAATAAAACACAGAGAATTAGGCTGTTGAAACTGCACCAGGTAATGAAGGAGAAATGTCCTTTCAGAGTCCTTGAGGGAGAAGTGAGATGAAATGCAGTATCTTCACTTGAGTCTCCCAGGTTTAGCAATACATAGGGACATGGCTCTTTGGTGCCTTCTCTGTGCAGTCCCTCAGATACCCAACCACAAGGAGATATAGCTACACTGACCATAGGCATCAATGGATTTTTCCTTGCAAATAGTGTTTTGCTTGAATCAGGGATCTAGCCTTGGTATGCTGGGCTGGAGCGTTCTTTGTTGTGAGGGCCAGTCCTAGGCATTGTAGGATGGATGTCAGAGGCCTTCTGGGCTTCTACCCACGAGGGACTCACCTTCTACTTGTACAGAAGTTCTTGGACCCAGTGGTATTAATTATATGGGTATGCTCTGAGGAAGCAGCTCCCTTCTGGGTCACCATATTGAAGCAACACGAATCTCACTCTTGGGATATTTGAAGACCTACAAATCAGTTTAGTGACCATGGCAGATGAGAGAGAAGTTCATAACCTAGAGATCTAATAATCCATGGCCTGGAGACTGGACAGACACGATGTTCTAATTACATCTATCAAATCTACAGAGAAACAGAACAAAATACATCCAGGAGGAAAAGGTTTGCTTCTCAGCTATGGCAAAGACACAAGAATTCCTGGCTGCAGACAGTTTCCTGTTCTGGAATGCTGATGATGTGAGACCAATTAGAGACAGGCTCTACGACTTTGTCCACACCAG